GGGTTTTGTAGAATATTCCAGAGATTTTCAAGGTTTTTATGTTTTCTTATAAATAACCTTCCAAGGCCTCCTATTGTATTCAATTATTGATGAATTGATTAATCGAAAGATTTCTAAAGAGGTTTTGATAAACCACTGTGAAGAGTATTCACAACCCTAAGAGCTTTTGCAAAAATCCTCAGAGGAGGACTCTCAAACCTAGTTTCCGGTTATATTCTTAAAATCAACGGATCTAGTTCTATCCCTAGAAGTTTCCGCTCAATAAGTGGGTATCAGAGACGCGCCTCTTTGATTTCTTAATTAGAGAACGATTATGGTGACCATGGTGAGTCCAAGCGTCTACCCTATCCAGGACGAAAGTCCATTCGTTGCAAGAGAAGAAAACCATCAGATCTACGGTGATCCTATCTTCGACATATATGACGACGATGTTCAGGTTGTTGACTTCGTCTTCAAAGCTGGATCTTTTGAAGATCAGAGCCGTGCAGAATCCGTTCGTGCAGAAGTCGGGCGACTTCAAGGTCCTGTGAAATTCGAGCAAGATCAAGTATGTGCAGACTTCGTGTTTTATGCAGAATTGGGGGGAAACTCGGATAGGGCAAAATCTGGACGATTGCAGATATGCGAAAATTTCAGAGAGTTATAGGTCTGTGCTGATTCGGTTAGTGCATATCCGGTTCGTGAAAATTTCGTGCAATTTTCGGTTTGGGCAGAAACAACAAAACCGATGTGGGAAAACCGGTTGAAGATTCGAGGATGAATCTTTCTTGGCCGGCGGGACCTGATGCAGCGTATATACAAGATTCGAGGATGAATCTTTTCTTGGCCGGTGAGACCACTGATAGAACGAAAGCTTCTATGGATAGAACTAAATCCGTTGATTCTAAGAATACCCGGAAACTAGGGTTTGAGAGTCCTCCTCTCAAGGCTTTCGCAAAAGCTCTTAGGGTTGTGATACTCTTCACAGTGGTTTATCAAAACCTTTTTAGAAATCTTTCGATTAATCAATTTATCAATAATTGAATACAATCGGAGGCCTTAGTAGGCTATTTATAAGAAAACATAAAAACCCTGGAAATCTCTGGAATACTCTAGAAAACCCTAAAAGATAAACATTAAAACATAAATCTAAATAATTAAATAAATAATAAAGATATTTAGAATATTTCTAAATATCTCACTGCATCAGATCTCGTCGGCCAAGAAAAGATTCATCCTCGAATCTTGTATCTACGCTGCATCACCTGATGCAGCGCATAATTGGACTATTTCCA